TTTAAGCATCTATTATTAGAATTAACTTCTAAACTTTAAAAATAACATTCATTTGTTTAGTGTGTGTGCATGTGCATGTTAGGATGCATTTGTAGACATGAGAGAACAACCTGGGGGAAGTGATTCTCTTCTCCCACCATGTAGGTTCTGGGAATTGAACTCGGGTTGTCAGGCTTGGCAACATGTATCTTTACCCACCAAGCCTCTCACCACCCCCTTTTATTTTTTTAAATGTGGCAACTAAACAATTAAAAATGGAGCTGAGAGATGGGTTACTGGTTCAGAATACTTGCTGGTCTTGCAGAGGACCCAGATTCGGTTTCCAGAACCCATGATGTTCCACTGACTGTCACTCTAGCTCCAGGGCCTCCAATACATTTATTTGACTCCTGCAGCTAAATTTTAAAAATTCATAAGATTTTTAAATTTTAAAAAAAGGAATTTAAAATTTTTTTATTTTTTAAAAACATATAAGATTTTTAAAATTATATGTGGTCCTATTCTCCTTTTTACTATAATGTACACTGTAAAAGAAAGTGTATATTCTTATATTTCAGACTTTCCTAAAACTCACAAAAAGAAAATATACCCAATGAAAATATTTAAAGCATACTTATTAGCTAAATTAATTTGGTTGGCAAGGTTTGAATTAGGCAGGGAATTGAATCTTTCTCCAAGGTATTCAGTCTTACTTGTTACACTCCTGGTGTGGGTCCCCATTGTCAATCACAGGAAGCCAATGCCATGCTCATAATGGCTTCTTGAGACTCTTGTTGGTTTCTTCTCAGAAACCCAGCAAGAATACCCTTGAGCGCCCCAAACTCCTACTTCGAAACAATAATTCCCATGGCATCTCTGCACATTTCAGCATGTTTAGGTATACAGACTACAGAGTTATCCCCTGGCATTTAATCTGTATTTGCTAAATTGGTCATTACTATTTTTTATGATCCAGGATACCACTATTCCTCGGTGGGTAAGACACCAAACAGTGAAAATCCCAACTTTATTTTTGTTTCATAGAAATGTACTTTCTAGTTTGTGCTGAACTCCGAAGGACTGTACCACGAAACTGGGGAATACCTGGCAGAGATCTCATTTTTCTGTTACTGATGGAAATGAAATTGAAATCAAATCCCCTTGAGAAGTTACGACAGACCCCTGAGATTTATCCTGACAACATACATCTGTTAAATTATCATGGCAATGGGTAGCTAAGTGCAGCCCCAGAACCCGGGGAGGAGACTGAGGCACAACACTCGAACACAACAAAGGAATGCCATGGTTTTCTGAATTCCGGAGACTAGCAAGAAGGCTGCACGGAGAAGATGTGAGCATCATTGGGCTGTGCTTCCCATAGCACGCATCAGGAAAAGGAGGGAACAACACCATGGATAATGTACTGCAGACGCTTTCAATCAGGCATAAGGGCCTGCTCTGCTCACACCCGCCATCCAGAGAGAGTGGCAAGGAAAATGGATCGGATACACTCATCTTTTATGTAGAATCAGCTTGTGCACCCAAGGAAGTTCATGGGTGGAATTATTAACATTGAGCTTTCATTTAAGAACCTATAGAAAGCCTCGAGAGAGGTATAGGCCCTTGGTACCAAGGAGCTGGCATTTGGACAGTAGATGATTAAGGCTTGCAGGCTTGTCAGGCTGCTTAACAGTCCCCTGAGATGGCCTGGTTGGCAGATGCCAGCCTCTGTAGAAATGGGGGTTTGAGGGGAGGTTGATGTTGGTTTTGCAATAGGTCTTACTATGTATTTCAGTCTGGCCAGGCACTTGTGGGTCTCTTCTGGGTAATGGGATCACAGGCATGGACCACTATGCTTGGCTATTTGGCCTTTTCTTTTCTTTACAGTTAAAAATTTGTTTTCGCTTGTTTGTTTCACTGAGATGGGTTTTCTTATACATCAGACTGGACTGGCACTTACAATATAGTTAAGGCTGGCTTTGAACTCACTATCCTCCTGCCTCTACCTCACAGTGCTTGGGTTTCAGGGATGCTCCCTACTTACTTTGTTCTCTTTTCCTTCCTTTCTTCCTTCCATCTTTCTCTCCATCTGTTCTCCTTTCCTTTTCTTGAAGAGCTGGGAGTCTAACCTAGGACCTCACACATGCCAAGCATATGCCATACCTCAGCACCCTCCCCCTTTTTAAATAATGAAACACTCTGCTGAATCCACCATGTACTTCACACAGTAACTTCTCTCCTCAAGCGCTCTTTGTGCTGGCTAGTTTTATGTCAACTTGGCACAAGCTAGAGTTACCTGAAGGAGGGAATCTCAATTAAGAAAATATCTCCATAAGATTCAGCTGTAGGGCATTTTCTTACTTAGTGATTAATGGGGGATGTCCCAGCCCATTGTGTGTGGTGCTATTCCTAGGCTGGTGGTCCTGGATCCTGTAAGAAGGCAGGATGAGCAAGCCTCCTGTAAGCATTCCTCCATGGCCTCTGCATCAACTCCTGCCTCCAGGTTCCTGTCCTGCTTGAGTCCCTGTCCTGATTTCCATCAACGATGAACAATGTGGAAGCATAAACCAATTAAATAAATGAACAAACCTTTTCCTCCCCGAGTTGCTTTGATCATGGTGTTTCATCACAGCAATAGAAACCTTCGAAGACACTATTCCCTTTCTTTTTATTGTAATCTTATTTTAAACATCTCATGACAGGCTTCATCACCACGTGACCACACTTTGTAATTTGATTTTAACTGGAAAATGCGGTTCTGAGCTCATCTCCTATCAGAAACCAGTCAGGCACTGGAGGCTGTGGATGTAGCTTTGATGGTAGGGTATTAGCTACGCATGCGTGAGACCTTGGGTTCCATCCCTAGGACTGAAGAAGAGGCTGTGGCTACAGCTCTGTGGCACAGTGTTGGCCTCAGCCTTAGGTGCAAACCCCATCCTGCCACCCCAGAAATGAAATCAGCTACTTCCCGTAGTTAGAGGAAAACGGCGCTTCTGCACTTGACCCATAAGGTTTTCATTTTTGCGTAGTGTTCTAGTCAGGCTTGTCACACACAATCAGCTTCGTATGCTCTAAAGACGAGGTCGTACGGCTGTGTGGTTCCCTGCTCCTGTGCTCAGGCTCAGCTTCAAGCTCCGTACATCTAGTTTCTATGCAGGGAAGGCTAGGCCAAGTTGCGTTTCTCACAGTAGCTGTAATCTGTATTCCTTGTGAACTCTCACCATTTTTCTCAGCATCCCCCCGCCCCATCTCTCTGTCTCCCCTTCTTCAGTCATACACATTCAACTCCGAACAGCTCTGCCTGAATTAAATCCTAGCCCTGCCAATCACTCGCTGCGTGACCTTGGCTCTAATCCTCTCTGTGCTTTGCTTCCTTCATATTGTGAAAATTGAATCAGCTTCTATAAATTACAAAGTTCTTATAACTTCAAAAAACATTTAGTATTTTCCTAGGGCAGTTAAGATTGCTCTACATAGTGACTTTATTGTTCAACAGTGGGCATAGTGAAAATAATGAAAGCATTAACCGCATCCTCTGTTGGGTCTGCATCCCAGAAACTGCTTCTTTGGATAGCACCCACTGTACTCGGTCAATGCATATTTATGGTATAAAAGAGACAATAAAGGGGGTCTCTAGTGAGAAATTTTAAAATGAAAATCAATGCATTAATTTGCTAGTACTTTAAAATTTGGGAGTTCTGTCTCAGCCGCTCCAGGGTATGTTAGGTACAAGGGAAAAAATAGCCAATGAACAAAAGGAACAACCACCACCAATCCAAACCAAAACAATGAGAATGAAAACCACAACTCTATTAGCTGACAATTTGCTGAATGACTTTTCCAAAATGCTTTGCTTTCTTTAGTAAGCAAGCCTGGAGAAGCAAGCATTTATTTATATCTGATACAATTAAACAGCAACAAACTTACACAAACAGGAAATTGGGTTCAGTCAAGGCTAAGGAGTTTTCAACTCTCCAGTTGCATTTATGCCCATGGTCTCATTGAGGATGTCTTGCTCTAATGATCTAGACTCCTGGGAAGAGCTTTAAAAATGGACAGAAAAAGAAAAGAAGAAAGGGAGGGTGGGAGAGAGGGAGGAGGGGAGGAAGGGAAGGATAGAGAAAGGGAAGAAGGAAGGAAAAGAAGAAAGAGTGTTCTCAATTCAGCCTCATCTGTTCTTATTCTTCTGCGTCTATGTGGAAAGTACTGGAAACTGCAAGGGTGTCTCTTCAGCCTTTGAAAATCAATGTGGATTTGGAGGGGGAGAGCTGTGGCCTTCAGTTACAGCGTTTCTCCTGCTGTCTTATAACCAAGTCCTGCTCTAAATTTAACATGTCCCCAGACTCCCATTTAATCCTCACAGCTGGGAGACAGGACTTGTCCAGTCAGATCTGTTTTCCTACAATACTGACAAATCTGCCCTTTAATAATTTATTTTCTCCAGGAAAATGGTCTCTTACGAAGCTCTAATAGGTTTTGCCACGCGGTTGCTGCTTTAATCAGAGAAGACATTTTGGGGGTTTATTATTCGTGCTCTTTCTCAAAAGCTACTGATTAGCCCTCACCGGCGGTCGCAAGCAGCCAGGAGGTGGATGGAGGCTGCCCACTTGCTGCACAGCAGCCTGCGTGCAGCTTTCTTGTGGCCTGTGACAGACTGCATACAACCAGCGCCAACTGAGCAGACTGAAGTTGCAAACCCCTACCCACCCCCTCAGCTCCCAGCAATAGACTGCTCACAATGCTCTTCTTTCCACTATTTATTCACCAGGACTGTTCCAGCAGCCAATAGCCAAAGCCCGCTCCCTTCCCCACATCCCAAAGCAGCTAAATTACTTCTGAAAACTGAATGACATGCTTGGCAAAAGAATGCTCTACCGCGGGGCCCGCCTTACAACAAGGTTTACTTTGGCCTGCTCAAACATCAGACCCACATCCCCCCAACCCCCCCACCCCCCAACTTCTAGGAAAGCAGCATCCTCCGCCACGCGGTCCCTTTATGTGTTCATCGCACAGGAGAAAAACTGCCAAGCAACACAAGGAGGCTTCCTGTACTCAAGAAAACCCGCTTCCCTGAGGCCAGTTTACAGTGTGCTCATGAGAACACACATTCAGACCAAACACCAGTCCAGCTTGAAGAAGGCACCAGGAGTAAGTTGGGGTGGCATTTTTTAAAAGAAACAAACCCCCTCACATTTATTTAATTTATTCATTATGTTTAAAGCTAAATATTATCTGCAAAATTCACAGCTTGTCTGGAAGTCCTGATTTCTTAGACACGTGGGAAAATTTCTTCTGCTTTTTTGGTTATGATCAGGGAAGGATGAGTAGAAATATTCTTGAGGTGCGTTTAGTCATGGTTGGTCCACAGCTTGTTCAAAAATCTTCCATATTTGGCCCCAAAGTAAACATTTACTTAAACACTTAAGTAAACATTCATAGTCTCAGCTTTGAATATATGTATCAAGTATACCCCTCTGTTGAACTAATACGACCAATTTAAACAAAATTCAGGGTGGAGAGATGGCTCAGTGGGTAAGGGTGCCTCCTGCCCAAGAATGAAGACTTGAATTCTAATCTCCAGCATTCACATAGAAAGCTGGGTGTAGCTGTGCCCGTCTGTAACCCCGCCTTGTGGGGTTCAGAGATAGGCAGAGCCCAGGAACTGACTGGCCAGCAGCCTAGCAGAAACATGCCAGCTTCCTGCTTAGCAAGAGAGCATGCCTCACAGAAATAATGTGAAGAAGGCGGTGGTGGCACACGCCTTTAATCCCAGCACTCGGGAGGCAGGAGGCAGAGGCAGGCAGATCTCTGTGAGTTCAAGGCCAGCCTGGTCTGCAAAGTGAGTTCCAGGAAAAGCACAAAACTACACAGAGAAACCCTGTCTCGGAAAAAAAAAAAACCCCCCCCCCCAAAAAAAAAGACATAATATGAAAAGCTACATAGGAAGACATTTGATGTCCTCCTTAGCCTCTGCATCTTGTGTGCCTGCACACTCAAGGTATGCGGCACACACACACACACACACACACACACACACACACACACACACTATACCGGGTGGTTTTGAGTGTCAACTTGACACAAGTTGGAGTCATCAGAGGAAGGAGCCTCAGCTGAGGAAATGCCTCCTTGAGATCCAGCTGTAAGGAATTTTCTCATTTAGTGATCAACGGGGAAGACCCAGCCCATGGTGGCTGGTGCCATCCCTGGGCAGGTGGTTCTGGGTTCTATAAGAAGGCAGACCGAGCAAGCCAGGGGAAGCAAGCCAGTAAGCAGCTCCCCTCCATGGCCTCTGCATCAGCTCCTGCTTCCGGGATTCTGCCCTGTTTTGAGTTCCTGTCCTGACTTCCTTCAGTGATGAACAGCAATGCTGAAGTATAAGCCAAATAAACCCTTTCCTCCCCAGCTTGCTCTTTGGTCATGGCATTTCATCGTAGCAATAGGAACCCTAACACACACACACACACACACACACACACACACACACACACACACACACACACACACCCTCTTGGATTAGTGACATTGGTGTGTTGATATTCCTCCCATCACTAGAAAAAGCAATTCTTTGTTTTGCTATGTGCTGTTCCATAACAAAAGCTGCTCTCATGAGCTTTGAGACAAATCTAGTTTGTTAAAACATGGAAGAAACAAAGAAAAATCATGTATGTGTCTTACCACTCAGGTTATTAACTTTCTATAAGGATTTCTGGGTCAATCTTACAGTTATCTCTTTAGATATTCCAATATGTGTGCTAAATGGATCTGGAACTTCATGTATTTAATTTTGTATCTCTTATTTTGAAAGAATTAATAGACTAGTCAATAAAACGGGATTGTGTTTTGCACCTTGTAATACACTAAGGAGAAAAAGCAATATTTTGTAGACAAGCTAATGAAAATTATACCTAAGATCATTCCAGCTTTTTTTTCCGTAATGAATCTATAGCATTAAAAGCTCACTTTCTTTTAAGAGATGTTAGAAAGTTCCAAAATACAGCCCCCTCCTCAAATTCACTTCTATTATACATAGCATAATATATATTTTAAAGTGAACATTGAGACCTGCCTAGTTGACAAGCTCAACAGATTTAACAGAAAAGCAAAACTCTAAACCATGTCAGCTGGTAATTAGAACAACCATATGTCACTGTTGTTATGTGGACACAATGCATCCCTTGCTTCAGTGGCCTGAAAAATGGACAAATTTTTAGTTAGTCTGTGGTAATTAAATTACTTTAAGTCAGTATTATCTAGGTAGTGCTTCAAACAAATTTTATGACTTCCACTTCCTACATATAGTCAATACTGTCTATGTGTAGTGCAGGTCCATATGTTCAACTCTAGCAATTACTACAATTATAAAATGCATCTGCTTTATTTCAGGGGGTTTCTCTAATAGCCTGATTTCACAGCTGATATGTAGAAGTTGAAATGTTGCATACATCCAAAGAAGCTTTAGATATGTACTGTTAATGCTGGGCAAGAATTAATAATGCATCCTGTTTTTTTTTTTTGTGGGGCCAGTGTGAAGTACCCAGTCAAGCCCCGTAGCCGGCACTGGATGATCTGGAAATGGCATCATCTCCCTGTTTATTCTGCCTTGGCTCTGCCCTGTGTCTCGGTCCTTCCATTTATCGGTGGCCCACTCTGGAGTCTCTGAGATCATGGAACACACTATGTCACTGATGAAAATTTCAGACAATCAACAAGAAAAAGAAATTAAAAAACAAATTGAATTAGTGTGTCTCTGACATTATGAGTTAACATAACCCCATAGGAGTCTTGGAACAAAAGAAAGGAAAGCGTTACATCCACCAAACAAGCCTTAAAGGCATCAGAGTACTGTCCGTGGTTTGTTTTTCTCAGCTAAAGTATCCAGACTGTTCACATTTTCCATTGTGTAGTTTGGTATCTTCAATAAATGTTGGCCACTGCAACAGTTCTCACATTTCACTTTTGGTTTTTTTTCTTTTAATTTTTTATTGAACATTTGTCCATATGCATTGTAAAAACAAATAGAAATGAACCATGGCAATAGCTAGAATATAAACCACAAACTTGAGTCAGCAGAGGTCTTTCTGGGTAAGCAGACATTCCATGTCTCTGTGTGTCAAGTTAGTCAATGATAAATGAAAGAGATCAGAACAGAATACAAATTAACCCCTCTTGAGTTCTATATATGTTTGCTCAGATTCTAGCCCCACAAGGAAACTCAATCTAGCTTTTGAAAGTACTTTGGTGTTTCAGAATGGTTTGACTTGATCAAGATCCCAGAAAATATGTGGTGCTGATGGGTGACAAGTTGTCAAGGGGTTGAGGAAAAAGGCTTTGCTTCTCAACTGAAGAGCAGAAGTCCTACCTGCTCTGTTTATTCTATGACTTCCTTATATTTATTCTTTGTTACTAGGGATGGCTGTTGATTGATTGATCGATTGATTTTTAATATATGTGTTTTACATTTAGACATGGACAAAATAAAAAGGCAATTCCCACTTCAAATCCCTGTAGTCTTTCATTCTTCCACTACACTGATTTCTAAATAAATATTAGTCAGCTCTACTCTCTCTCACAAAGTCTGACTATAGTCATTCAAATTTGAACATTAAATGTAGCAAGTGTTTTTTTGCCCAATACTAAGCTCTGTGAAGTGTACAAAGAATGTGATAAGGTCTCTGCTCGGAAAATTTCTTGTTTCATTCCAGGAAGTGTGTATACAAAGCCATCAAGCCATAGATATCATCCACGATGTAAACATTATTATATGATGGCTCACTGTAAGAGAGGAAGAGGAAAAACTGAAGACAAGAGATATGACATAGGAAGGTGCCAATCATTTTTAGAAAATGGCCCACGGTGTGATGGTTATTATTTGCAAAATTGAATATAATCTTGAGGCTTAGTAAAACTTCCCCTTGACACATTCATTCTCCCCTGCTCTTGACTCTCATCATAGCAGAAATAGGACTGCCTCACAAGACATTTTCAGTGTATCTGTAAAGGCTAGCTTATAGTATTTCTTATTGTCTATAAAGAGTTTTTGTTGCTGCCATCCAGACAGATCAGGCATTTTAAGTAAAATATTTATGATGGACCTAATCATGGTTCTATTTTGTTATTAAGCCAGGAAAATGAGACTGAAGGAACTGTATAAATTGAATTGCTTGAACAAAGCCTTTTTCTCTTTCCTTTGTAACATCTTTCTCAATTTCTGACATGAGCTTGCCAATTAAAAATACATTTTGACTGAGGTCTGAAAGTGATGTACCTCCCAGAGTTTTGGACCCAAAACTCAATGAAAAGGAACCACAGAGGCATGCAACCAACAGCCACCCAAATTTGAATAAATTAGAGCTGTTCTGTTTTGCCTTACTGGCAGCCAGAAAGCCACAGGCATTTCACCATCCCAAAGGATCTGGAGACCTGAGGGAGAGTAGAAAGAGCAAGCCCAGACTGCACATAGCTGTTGCTTTATATGTAGCTCATGCAATAGAAAGAGTACCCAGTTTCAATTCAACAGCAACCCTTGAAAAACCAATGCATTTCAAATAGAAATGCTCATTTTTAATATAACAAATACTTTAATAGAATCTTGAAAATTTCCTCCTAATTAAAAAAAAAAGAAAACCACAAATCTTTTTCGGTAGTAAGGGAGGCAGAGGCATAGGAAAATGCCTTATTTTTCTTCATAATTTTATACTTGAAAAATTCAATAAATGGATAGCTCTTAGGATAGAGCCCATTTGTGGATTTTATTTCACAAAAATGTAGTAAGAACTTCAAACACATCAGGACAATTCATTGGTCGTTGATCATACACAAGTAATAGACAGGGTGCTTAACTTATTACCTTTCCAAGTGCTTAACTACTTTCCTGCTTCCACATCAGCATGTCTATTAACAATGTCATTGTTCAGGCCTTGTTTAATCAGCCATATTGTTGAAGTATCATGGGTGTACCTTCTCTGCCATATTTAAGAGACACAGTGTCAAGGGTGTTCTGTGACATCACTGGGGTTTAAATATTCCTGTCCATCTGAAATTCATGTTGAAACAGAATCTTTGTCTTTGGCATTAAGAACTCTCTGCAAAGCAATGAATCCAAGAGGGCTACATCCAGACGAATAGTATCAATACTCTCATTAAAGAGGTGTCAGAGGGTTTCCTGGTCCCTCTGTCTCCTCTGCCATAGTGTGCATGCTTTCCACCTTTTACACTGTGAGGATGGGGTAGAAAAATGCTGTCTACATAACAGACCCTCACCAGACACTGAATCAACTGACGGTAGAAACAAATCTCTATTGCTTCTACATTATGATGCCTAACGTATTTTGTCACAGCATCAGAAAGAAACTGAGGCAAGTAGGTAGGAGCAGGTGATGTGAGGAAGTCTGAAGGACTGACCTCACACCCAGTCTGACTTCTAAGGGCTAGCGTGGAAGAGAGGTGAACTTGACCAGAATGTTCTGGCAGGAAGAAGAGAAAAGAAGTGTTCAGACAAAGGGGCAGCATTTGTGAAGAGACCGTGAATTAAGAGAACGAGTACAGCACAGTAGTCCCAAAGATGAGGACCAGGTGGGACCTGAGCAGTGGGTCACTCTTACATTACATTCTACCCTGAAGACAGAGAGGGAAAGAGGGCTATGGACAAATGGGACCATATTTGCACCACAGGAAGATCACTGCCTATGGTGGCATGAAGCTAGATGTAGAGAGATGGCATGTCAGAAGTCTAATCGAGAGAGTAGAGAAAAAACTCCAAAAGGTATTAAAGATGTGGAAAAGCTAAGTAGCCAGTCAGTTGCATGAAGACTGGAGGTAGTACAAAAAGAGGGACATCCCTAAAGATCTTAAATTGATCTAAGTCTGTATTCTGATATGTTTCTTTCTTGCATTGAGAGCTGCAAGAAAGTGTGATAACTATGTGTGGCCTCCACCCACTTTTTCTTTTCCTTATGATGTTTGGAATCAAACCCATGGCCTTGTGCATTCAGGGACAAAGGCTTTAGTGCCAAGATCGATCCCTAGCATATTTGACTACATTTCCATGTTAATGAAATCCCAGTAATCTTGGAGTTAGACAAGCATACATGTAGTTAGAGTTTTCCTGCCTGGCCCACGGTCAGGACAAATCTCTCTCACCCACCAGTCCCACAGCCGCTCAGACCCAACCAAGTAAAAACACAGAGACTTATATTACTTATAAATTGTATGGCCATGGCAAGCTTCTTGTTAACTGTTCTTATATCTTAAATTAACCCATTTCTATTAATCTATAAGTTGCCATGTGGCTTGTGGCTTACTAGTACCTTGTGGCCTCCCCGCCTCAGCCTTCCACTTCCCAGAATTCTCTTCTCTGCTTGTCCCACCTATACTTTATGCCTAGCTACTGGCCAATCAGCAGCTTTATTTATCAATCAATCATCCACAGCACATACAGTTTTCCAAGATAGTCTCATTTACTACTTTGCTCTGGTGTGGAAACTAACCATAACCTTCCTTGGTAATACTGAATCACATTGGCTTTTCTGTCCACATGGTCAATGAGTTAGAGCAATGTTCTGCTAGGATGTGAAACTTCTCAGAGTCTATGACCTCCAAGATGGTTTTGAAGGACTGGTAGGGTGTCTGGCTGAGGCAGCATCATGGGTAAATATGAGAAGCATATATATAAATGTAACATGCCAGAGAGCCTGCCAGTGGGTCAATGATGTCTTGTAGTCTCCCCCACAAATAAATGACTTTGGCTTTCTACCTTTAAAGACATGATGTTTGTCTAGTCTCAGAAAACTAGAAAATAAATATCAACCACGTGATGGTTCAGCAGGTAAAGCGTCCCATAAACAAGAGAACCTGAGTTTGTTTCCTAAATGTTTTTCATGAAAAAAGCCAGGCATGGTTGTGTGTAATTAAAATCTCAGTACTAGGGAGAAGACAGAGATTCACTGGGGTTCACTGGGTACCCAGCCTGGCCTACTTTGGGAGACCATGTCAAAAGTGAGAGACTCTGTCTCAACAAACAAGGTGGACAGTGGCTGAGGAATAATAATCATGATTGAACTCTGGTTTCCATATGCATGAGCACACATGTGCGCGTGCGTGTGCACACACACACACACACACACACACACGAGTGTCTGTGTAAATGTGTGTGTGTGTGTGTTTCGTGTGTGTGTGTGTGTGTGCGTGTGTGTGTGTGTGTGTGTGTGTGTGTGTGTGTGATTTTTATCCCTCTCTCCTAGTACTTATCCTCTGAGATTTGTGGAAATTTTACTTCTCTTTTTCTCTATAGCCACGTGCTCTCATCTCCAACTGGACTTGATATTTGCCAGCTAAAGGAACAATAATATAATAGCTAAGGCAAACCAGGCAGATTCTGAAACTCAGCAGTGACTTGTGCCTATGGAAAATCCGATTTGTACGTGTGTGACTTGTGCAAACTAATTTGTAATTGAACTCATATGACTTCACCAAGGTTTAACAAGACACTGTCAACACATTCAGGTTCCCGAGTTCAGCCCCTGTTACCTGTATGTCCTCCTCACAAGCCCCCTTTTCTCATTCATGACTTTGCTCATGTGGTTTTGCTTATTCCTTTTCTTGAGGTCCACTGAGTTTGACCACTGTCATCTGTGTGGCCATAGATTTGCAACTACCTCTGGGGGTAAGGTGGGCTCCTCAGTGGGTACTTATTGGAAGACAATGACTGGCCTGTCTCAGAGCCCGTCAGGATCCGTAG